TGGATCCAGTGGCTCTGTAAGCATCTCAGTGCTGGCAGGGGCCTCCATGTGGCTGCTCCAGCTCAGGGCACTACTGTAGTTCCATATGTCTTGTCAGTGGAGAGTCTCTCAGGGAGTGAGTGTGTGTCCTGCCTCCAATGAGCGATTTTATTTTCTTAGCCCCTCCAAATGAGGAAGCTGCGATCTGATTGACAAGCTACAGCCCTTCACTCTGAAGCCTCAAATTGACAACAGATTACGTAACCACCACACCAGCTAAGGCTAAGACTGCAATCCATGCCCCCATAAAGAGCAGACTAATGGACATCAGAGGACTGAACAAAAACTCACTTCTAGCCCCAGGCCTCTGGCCATTGCTGGGCAGACATTGCTCCACTACCCTCCTTCCCAGCTGTCACAGGAAGGGAAGAAACGTGGCGAAGGGGCAGTTCTCCCGTCTTGTAGGGTTGCTAGAACCAGAATGACTAGATGGGGGTGGGATCGGGTTGAGTTTGGTCTCATCCTTTAAAAAAATCAAATGCCTTCTTTCGTGCATGGGTTTTGATGAACCAGCTCAGATCTTCATCTGTTTAACCCCCTGGGATATTTTGGTTAACTCCATGGAAGGACCCAAAAGGAAAAACTAAAGTCAGTGTACCCAATCCGCATGGGATGGGCCAGCCTTTTGTGCTACAGTGGTTCTGTGAGCGTTCTAGGTGGGGCCTGGGGCGACACTGGGCCAAGTGCCGTCTCCCGAGCTGGCTCACACCTCACCTGCTGCTTCTCACTGGCAGGTTCATCGCGGCATCAAAGGCATCGTGAGAGATTCACTTGGGAGAGGGATTCCAAATGCCATTATCTCCGTAGAAGGTGTGAACCACGATATCCGAACAGGTAAGCTGCATGCACACTGACCACTGTGACTCAGTAAGAAATAGGTTCATGGAAGAAGTGTGTTCGTGGGTTAGGGTCACGGGTGGAGTGCTAGCAGCTTCTTAGACAGAGCTGGCTAAGAGATGGGTGTCTCCAGTTTCCTCTAATTCCCCTGGGAGACCTCTAGAAGTAAGGGCTTTCATGCTGTCCTTTCTGCTCCTCTTGTCCCTTTCCTGAGCTGGGTTTGGAGCAGCCGGCTACTGTCTGGGTGCAGTAGAAATTTCTAGAAGCGGGAGAGGCAGCTCTTTCTACAGTGTTGTTATGATGTAGGAAACTTAGGGCCCAGCACATGGCAGGGTAAGAAGATGTAAGTAATTCTGGTGCAAGACAGTGTTGGCAGATGGGGGGCCAGGGCCGTGGGTTAGGGGTAGAGAGCGAAAGTCCCAGTGAACCAGTCCAAGAAGTGGACGGGTCACAGGCAATGATTGAATGTGATGTTTTAGGAAGAATTCATCGTCTGTAATATGTAAGCGTCATTGTCTTTAGGTGGCATCAAGTTGATTTTGACTCTCGGGGATGTTATGTGCAATAGCCTATGAAGCACCGCCTGGTCCCACACCATCCGCACAATTATCATTATGCTTGATTGAGCCCATTGTTGCAGCCACTGTCAGTCCATCTCGTTGACGGTCTGCACCTCTTCTCGTTGACTCTCTACCAAGCATGATGTCATTTTCCAGAGAATGGCCCCTCCTGACAACCTGTTCAAAGTACATGAGACAAAGTCTTGCCATCCTGGTCTCTGAGGAGCATTCTGGCCGTACTTCCGCCAAGATAACTGTGTTTGGTCTTCTGGTACTTTCACTCTTCTCCGCCAACACCATCTTCTTTTTGGCCTTCCTAGTCATTGCCAGCTGTCCTGTGTTCATGAGATGACTGAAGTATCATGGCTTAGGTCAGGGGTACCTTAGTCCTCACAGTGATGTATTTGCTCTTTAACACGGAAAATCAGTTTTGTGCAGCAGACTTGCCCAATATAAGACGTCAGCTGGTTTCTTAGCTGCTGCTTAAGTTCTTTCTATCTTCTTTAAAAAATCATTTTAAAACTCTTTAAACCATACAACTCTTAGCACAATCCATACATCCATCCATTGTATCAAACACATCTGTACATTTGTTGCCATCATCATTCTCAAAACATTTGCTTTCTACTTGAGCCCTTGGTATCAGCTCCTCATTTCCCCCCTTCCTCCCTCCCATGAGCCCTTGATAATTTATAAATTATTATTATTTTGTCATGTCTTACGCTGTCTGATATCTCCCTTCACTCACTTTTCTGTTGTCCATCCCCCATGGAGGAGGTTATATGTAGATCCTTGTAATAGGTTCCCCCTTTCCACCCCACTCTCCCTTCACCTTCCCGGTATCACCACTCTCACCACTGGTCCTGAGGGGTTCATCTGTCCTGGACTCCCTGTGTTTCCAGTGTCTATATGTACCAGTGTACATCCTCTGGTCTAGCCAGATTCGTAAGGTAGAATTGGGATCATGATGGTTGGTGGGAGAGGGAGGAAGCATTTAGGAACTAGAGGAAAGTTGTATGTTTCATTGTTGCTACACTGCACCTTGACTGGCTCGTCTCCTCCCAGTGACCCTTCTGTAAGGGGATGTCCAGTTGCCTACAGATGGGCTTTGGTTCCCCACGCCTGACTCTCCCTCATTCGCAATGACATGAGTTTTTGTTCTTTGATGTCTGATCCCTGATCCCTTCAACATCTCATGATCACACAGGCTGGTGTGCTTCTTCCATGTGGACTTTATTGCTTTTGAGCTAGATGGCCACTTGTTTACCTTCAAGCCTTTAAGACACTAGACACTATATCTTTTGATAGCCTGGCACCATCAGCTTTCTTCACCACATTTGCTTGTGCACCTACTTTGTCTTCAGCGATCTTGTCAGGAAGGTGGCTACTTAAGTTCTTCACTGCTGTTTCCGTGAGAGTTAATTTTTCTCTATTTATGGGTAGAAAAGCATCCTCTTCCTCCTGCTACTCCTACTCCTCATGATATCAAGACGATCTGACATTGTTTGGGGCATGTTACATATGACACACTGTTTCACAATAACTTCTCATGTAAACACAGTTATTCCTTATGGAATTTCAATTTCTTGATACTCTTGCACCCAAGACCCCCAGGGTGATGCAAATACACACACCTGGCTACTAATCTGAAGGTTGACTATTCACGTCCACTCAGATGTGCCTCAAGTATCAAAGGCCTGGTGACCTCTTCCCTTTGGAGCATAGTTCTGTTCCAATACCTGTGGGGTCTCCGGGGTTGTAACTGACTCGGCAGCAACTGCTGCTGTGCGCCATCCTTGAAAGACAAAGCAGGAGCCACAGTGAGAACTGAGCCAGGGAGACCTAGCTCCCTACAGGCTACCATCAGGCATCCTGACTGAAGGTGCTGATACCAAACTCGGAGCCCCTTTCTCATCCCAAGGAGAACATTCTGCTAAGTGTTCCCACACCTTCACCACTCCCGTTCCACCAAGGAGACTGGACAGGAGGCCTCACCAGCAGAAGTGCCGTCTGCCTGAGGAAATGGAGACCCTTGGACGGTGCCAGATGGCCTGGTCTGGAAGGCCATTACGATGTAGATAGATTAAATTAGCTGAGACCCTATGCACTGCTTTGCAAAACCTCGACTCTCACTCTTTCCACTGGGTTACCCATTTTGTGACAACTCTATTGTCTGAATGTTCCTGCCTCTCCTCCTTGAGCAACTCATAGCCAGTGACAAGGAGATGTCACTCTGCATAGCAGGGCACTTGTATATTGAGGCCCCTCCCAGGCATCCATCCATCTATCCATCCATCCATTCACCTACCCACCCACTCATCAACCAGCCATTCATTCATTCATCCAGCCAACTTCCCATCCATCCATCCATCCATCCTGCACTCATTAATTCAACTGATTACTCAGTTATCATGGGCCAAGAGGAGCCCCGGTAGTGTAGTGGTTCTGTGTTGGGCTGCTCACTGCAAGGCCAGCAATTTGAAATCACCAGCTGCTCCAAGGGAGAAAGACGCAACGTTCTACTCCCGTAAACAGTTAAGAGTCGTGGAAACTCACAGGGCCAGTTCTGTCCTGTCTTATCGGGTCACTATGAATCAGCATCACGGCATGGCACTTGGTGTGAAGTCTGGAGTGGCCAGAGCCCCTGCAGGTGCAGAAGATCTTGATGGGTGAGCAGCAAGGCTGTCTGGCCTGGTGCTTCCATCGGCAACACTGCTTCTGAGTGACTTTGAATAAAGGAATTCAAGAAAGAGCCTGGAACATTCCTTGGATTTGCAATGTGAGAAAACATTTTTTTTTTAATGGAATGGGAGCTAGAAAGGCCCCTGGGGGCCTGTAAGTGGAGATGGAATATGTTGCCTAACGGGCCCTGCTTATCACGCCCCTGGAAGCGAGGAGGGAACGGTTTTGGCGAGCTAATGGCAAGTGCATTTCTCTTTCCCTTGACTTTCTTTCATTATAAATAATTTCCCAGCATAGTCACATGACAAATGGATTCTGTACTTTATGTGTGCCTCTCTGTTTTATAGGCTCCAGCATCGGAGTGCAACACAAACTCAGAATTTGTCTTAATTTCTATCTGAAGTTCATGTGATATGACAAGCTTTATCTCAGAAGGGATTTTTTATAACAGAAGC